GGGAAAATTAGTGACTCATTTCTGCCTGCTGGGTTACACTTAAATAAAACAGAAGACAGTAAAAAAAAAGATTAACTTTAGGGTTCCTGAGACTGAAAAAAATCTCAACCTAACATGAGAAAAAAAGAAAAGGATGAAATGATCACTGTGCAGGACAAAACCTTTAATGTTGTAGTTCTGTGTTTGGCCATTAGAGGGCAGGAAAGCTTTTTAATGGAATACAAACACTTTTATTTTTGGTTTATCCTGTTATCTGTCAGTTTATGTGGAGTGTAAACGTGTTGTTGTTTTTGATGATGATGCTGATGATGATGATGACATGATGATGATGATGATGATGATGTTGATGTTTATTATCTTAAAAGTAACACTTTTCAATTACAACAAATATCTAATCAGTCAAATCCATCTTGAGCCGTATTGGGATGGGATTAGTTTTCCATGGTGAGGTGGGTGACGCCAGTTATCTCAGGATGTCTATGATGTTTATGTTCTATGCACCACCTTCACTCCAGAAAAGAGTAGAAAAGATGTTAAGACGTTTAATTTAGCTCTTATTTCGTTTACCTTAAACTTTACCTTTCTGCCTTGGACGCAGGGCGTCGTTAGCATCACCATTAGCTGGGAACTCTCAGCCAACAGTCAGATTCACCACATAAAATCAAACTTTTCTCTGTAGTTTTCCACAGAGAACAGAAGTAAGCTCTTCTTCGAGCCTCCACACTTAAAAAAAACTCCTTTTCGCTATTCCTGCCAAACAGGGCTTTTATATGGACAAAACCTGTAATGTTGTAATTCAGTTTCGGTTCGATTTTTTAAAATTTCTACATAATTAAGTGGTTAAGATGTAATCAGAGCCGTTCAGAGTGGTTTGGTGTGAAACGCTCTGTTCTAGAGAAACTTACCGAGTCAGAACTGTTCACAGTGGTGGTGATAGGAACCAGACGTCCACCTCTAAAAGCTCCCTCACAGAAAGTTCCTACATGAAATAGTTATGAATTCACTGCCTGATGACTGAGACACTGATTTATGATAGTTTAGAGAACTTAAACGCTTGTCCAGCAGGGGGCAGTGTGTCGCTCCCACAGAGAATCAGCAGTAGTGGCCATTACAGCCCGGCACATCCAGCTGACGGTTAGCGGGCGGGCCGGCGCTGACCGCCTGGAGCTGCTGTCACCAAAGTTTTAGCAGGTTGTTCCATCTCACAAAGACGGTCTGATAACACCAGCGCAGCCAGTAGCTGGACACACACTGTGGTCACTCTGGTTGACCAGCATACCAGCATCCAAAACACATCATTTGCTGGTTTTGCTGGTGACCTGCATGCTGGACTGTGCTGGTTTATCTAGCAGTGATATCGGTCACAGTTCTGGTTCTGGTTAAATAGATTACACCAGTGTGTGCTTTAGCTGGGCTAGGTTCTTAGTCTTTAGGCTGGTTTTGTCTTTAGCTAAAGAAAAATACTTAAATGTCCAAAGTGAATGAAAATGACAGGGAACTCAGTACAGTTAGATACCAGTTCAGCTAGTAAGTTCCTGTCCAGTCCAGTCGTCTCTCTCTGACACTGTGTGTTTATATTCACAACACACAAACACACACACACTTACAGATAATGCGTTTGTTTATATAACACACACACAGACACACACACACACGCACACACACACACACACGCACTCCCCCTCAGGCTCTCTCTGGAGCTGTTTAGTCCACACTGATAATAATCCAGCTGTGCTTCAGTAGGAGTTCAGGAAAGGTAAAGTTAGGGGCGCCTTAGGATTTTATATATTATGATTTTGGTCTACAGTTTATTTATTTAGCATGATAGCATTACAGCGTACAGTGGGCTGAACACGTCCCCCTTTAGAGCAGTGTCCATTTACTGTAAACGTGAACTAGTATTAACATGTAGAGGATGATGATGATGATGATGATTAAACCTACACACAGTCAGAGGAGATAAACTGAGTCAGGTCTGTTTATCTAGCACACAAAGAAGAGCTTTAACAGGGACATCTTGCCCCTCTATTGGGGGGTTAGAAGCCCCCCATAGTGAATTCTGCATCAATTTATCATCTTAAAGTCTTAAAGAATGTTTTATTAATATGTCTAATCATTCCTAGACTTTATGATTTGTTATGTAGTTTTGTTGACTGTACTGATTACAGATTAATATTAAATTAATTTAGTGTTATTGTTAGTAGGAGTATTATAGTGCCAATAATGAGGAACGCAGCCATACAGATGAAATTTCAGAATTTCACCGTTTCGCCCTTCAGTAAATGTGTTGAGAGTGTGGGGCAAAATTAAAGTATTAGAATTAATATTAGTATCAATATATTGATGTGGTCATTATAGGTTAGTATGTTAGTACATCATTATACTTATATATGCATCGTATTAGTATATATAATATCCTAATATAATTATAATATGTATATTATTTTAGTGCTATATTACCATAATATTACTTATTGATAATCATGTAAATTCTACACTTAATGCAGTATATGCTACAGTATACACTATGCAGTTAGTACTGTGCAAAGATGGCTCTTCAAGGGTTCTTTAGTAAAGACAATGGTTCTGCTTAGAACCATAAACACTCAAAGAACCCTTTGCACGCTTAAAATGTTGTCTGCATGGTGAAACTGTTCTTCAGATTGATCGAAAATTGTTCTGTATGGCACCAGAAAGGGTTCTGCTATTGTAACGATGTCAAGCTTGTAACAGCAGAACCCTTTTTGGTGCTATACAGAACCATATACAATACTCCGTCAATCTGAAGAACGATTTCACCATGCAGAGAACCATTTAAACATGCAGATGGTTCTTTGAGTGTTCATGGTTCTATATAGAACCACTGTCTTTATTAAAGAACTCTTGAAGAACCATCTTTTAAGACTGTAGTCAGTGTTACGGTGTATCAGTGTGATTGTAGTTATATGTATTATTGAGGGAGTTAAATGGGAGAGAAAGTGAGTGAGTTAGTATTCTCTGAGTGTCTCTCGCTCTCGGGCTGCGGGTGAGGGGAGCCTTAGTTTCAGACTTTAGTTTAGTTTTGGGGGATTGCCGTTGCTGGGGAGACGGAGGAAGCCTTTGCTGGTTGCCGGGAGACCAGATGCTTTCAAGGAGAAAATCTCACACACACTCACTCACACACACACACACACACACTCACACACACACACACACACACACTGAGCTGCTCTCTGACCTTCAGTTTGTTTATTAATAAATTAGAGAAATAAGACGGTGTTAATGATCTTAAATCAGTAAAATAATAATCACACCTCTCTACGTTTATTACATATCGCATAATTATATGGATTATTTTAGTATTTTCGAACCATCAGTATTGTTTATAAATAGTGTTTATAAACATTTAACCTGTAGTAGTTTTAGAATTACAGTATTTTATTATTATTATTGCTGTTGTTTAATATTAGCTGTGGTTAATAAGAGAAAAGGTGTTTTTCTTTTCCCAGATTGGCCGTATGTTGTTGATTTTATTTCCCAGAATGCCTCAGGGTTTGTTTAGTGCCCAAACTGTGCGTGAGCTGAAAGCTGATTGGTGTTGTTTACTCCTAAACGGAGACACGCCCACTTCCTGCTGTAGCGTTTACGGGTGCGGTGGGTTTATTTCAGGCCGTATGTGGAGCTTGTAGAGTGAATGTTAGAGTTTATTGCAGTTGGGGGGTGGGTGTGGGGGGGGCGGTGGGGGGAGTGGGGGGAGTGCAGATGTGTGTGTGTTTTCCTCAGTACCACAGCTCAGTGCAGTTATTATTCATTAGAATATCAGTAATGTATTATTAGTGCATTAATATTCTGTATCCCTCTCCTCATAAACAGAGTCGTGACTGTTCTGTGTCTAAAGGCCTCGTTTGAGTCCAGAGTGTTCTGTTCATTAGAATCACTGCTGCCACCTTGAAGAACCAGTTTGGACCAGACTAGACGAGAAAACACTTCAGAAGGTCTGGCTGAAGAAGGCAGCAAGTTCACCATTAAAGCGATAGTTTTAGGCTGTGTTTGTGAATGTTTTGTGTTTATTACACTGTTACAGGCTGTATTTAGTGAAGTTTAGTAAGTGTATTGTTTGTTACAGTGTTATAGGCTGTATTCATGCCTCATGTCATGTTTGTTAGTGTTTTAAGCTGTATTTGTGGATGTTTAGTGAATGTTTTGTGTTTATTACAAGGTTATAGACTATATTTGTAGAAGTACAGTGAATGTTTTGTTTATTACAGTATTTTACACAGTATTTGTGGGTTTAGTGAATGTGTTGTGTTTACTACAGTGTTATAGGCTGTAATTGTGAATGTTTAGTGAATGTTTGGTGTTTATTACAGAGTTATAGGCTGTATTTGTGGAAGTTTAGTGAATGTTTTGTGTTTATTACAGTGTTATAGGCTGTATTTGTGGATGTTTAGTGAATGTTTTGTGTTTATTACAGTGTTATAGGCTGTATTTGTGAATGTTTAGCGAATGTGTGGTGTTTATTACAGAGTTATAAGCTGTATTTGTGGAAGTTTAGCAAATGTTTTGTGTTTATTACAGTGATATAGGCTGTATTTGTGGAAGTTTATCGAATGTTTTGTGTTTATTACAGTGTTATAGGCTGTATTTGTGAATGTTTAGCGAATGTGTGGTGTTTATTACAGAGTTATAAGCTGTATTTGTGGAAGTTTAGCAAATGTTTTGTGTTTATTACAGTGATATAGGCTGTATTTGTGGAAGTTTAGCAAATGTTTTGTGTTTATTACAGTGTTATAGGCTGTATTTGTGAATGTTTAGGGAATGTTTGGTGTTTATTACAGAGTTATAGGCTGTATTTTTGGATGTTTAGCGAATGTTTTGTGTTTATTACAGTGTTATAGGCTGTATTTGTGGAAGTTTAGTGAATGTTTTGTGTTTACTACAGAGTTATAGGCTGTATTTGTGGCTGTTTGGTGAATGTTTTGTGTTTATTACAGTGATATAGGCTATATTTGTGGACGTTTAGTGAATGTTTTGTGTTTATTACAGTAATATAGGCTGTATTTGTGGAGGTTTAGTGAAAGTGGTGTGTTTACTACAGAGTTATAGGCTGTATTTGTGGAAGTTTAGTGAATGTTTTGTGTTTATTACAGAGTTATAGGCTGTATTTGTGGAAGTTTAGTGAATGTTTTGTGTTTATTACAGTGTTATAGGCTGTATTTGTGGAAGTTTAGTGAATGTTTTGTGTTTATTACAGTGTTATAGGCTGTATTTGTGGATATTTAGTGAATGTTTTGTGTTTATTGCAGAGTTATAGGCTGTATTTGTGGAAGTTTAGTGAATGTTTTGTGTTTATTACAGTGTTATAGGCTGTAGAAGTTTAGTGAATATGTAGTGAAAGTTTAGTGTCTCCCCCTCCGCGTTTCTCCTGCTAGCGTCCCCCTCCCCGAGCCCCCGATTAGCCGCCCCTGAGGGCATTAGCATTAGAATAGCGTTAGCGGTGAGAGGGTTAAGCTGAGAGTGAGCGGAGAGGCCACTCAATGCAGCGCTAATTTTCTGCCCAGCAGGAGAGCGAGGGAACGGAGAAGAAAAGAGAGGAATAAAGGAGGAATAAGAGGCGCTGAGAAACGGAGGGATTTACCCCTCCATCCCCCCATCCCCTCATCCCCCCCACCTCCCCCCACGCACCTGCAGCACCACAATACACTCAATACACACAATACACACAATACAGCCCTCCAAACAGCCCAATTACACACTGAACACTCTCTGTACAGGAGAGAGATACAGAGAGAGGATAGAGAGAGTGAGGGAGGGAGAGAGAGAGATAGGAAGAGAGAAAGAGAGCGAAAACAGAGAGAGAGAGAAAGTGAGAGAGAGAAAGAGAGGAACAGAGACTACAGAGAGAGAGAGAGAGAGAAGGAGAGAGAGAGAGACAGGGAGAGAGTGAGAAAGACTACAGAAATAGAGAGGAAGGGAGGAAGAGAGACTACAGAGAAAGAGAGAGAGAGAGGAAGAGAGAGAGAGAGCAGAGAGAGAGAGGGGGAGAGAGAGGGAGCAGTGAAAGTTAATAAATTGCGTTTTTTAATCGCCTTCACTTTATGAGTGTTAATTAATTGTCCACTGCTGTGTGTCGGAGGTCAGGAGGTCAGGCTGTCCAGTCGGTGTGTCTGTTCTCTTAACTGGGCTAATACGCCGAGTTTCATCTCGTTATAATATTAGTTATATCGACTTAACCACATTCGAATGTCCAGCCTGCGCGTCCGTCCGAGTGAATTAACCGATGAATTAAATCAGCCGAACAGCCGACGGAGGATTACAGCACTCAGTCACTCAGATCTGTCTCACTCTGTTTACTGGCCTGATAATCTGCATTACCATCCACTCTCTGTGTTAAAGGAGAACTCCACCCACTTTACAAAATTCAGCATAATTAAACAGTTAAGATGCAATCAGAGTGGTTCAGAGTGGTTTGGTGTGAAACGCTCCGTTCTAGATAAACTTACCGAGTCAGAACTGTTCACAGTGGTGGTGATAGGAACCAGACGTCCACCTCTAAAAGCTCCCTCACAGAAAGTTCCTACATGAAATGGTTATGAATTCACTGCCTGATGACTGAGACACTGTTTTATGATAGTTTAGAGAACTTAAACTCCATTCATGGTGGAGGGATACATGCAGGGCGCTGTGAGGCAAAATAGTCCCCAAAGAAAACTTATTATTTCAGATTTTCCACTATTTTCCATCATCAACATTCCATATAAACTCAGAAGACTCGTGTAGGTTCACTGGTGGTTCTGGATAGTAAATAAAATGTCTATATCTGTGTTGTAGTCATGGCGACCCCTGGTTCCCATCACCACCACTGTGAAGACATCTGAACCATTTCACACCAAACCACTCTGAATCTCTCTGTTTACGTCTCACACAGTGAATTATGGGGGAATTTTGGTAATTTCCCCTTTAATTGGTGTAAGATGCTACAATTTTTCCAAAGCAGGTGTGTAATTTCTGGCAAAAAAAAAAAATCCTTTTTTAATCGTCAAAAATGACTGTATACTGTAAAAAGTGGATGACATAGTTTTATTCTATGTATTTAATTTAATTTTAAATTAAAACAATTGATCAAATTCACCTGCATGATAACATAACAGATGAAGAACTTCCTTCTCAGACAGATATTTTGTGTTGTTCGTAATATAAATGACACAGATGGCTTTAGAAGTGCATGTTAAGCTGTACAAGAAGGACCCAAAGAAGACAAATGTACAAAAATAATAAAATACTTTATTACTTTTTTGCTTTTTTCTTTTTTAAATCCAAGTTGTGAAGTCATAAACACATTACTGACCCTTACTGTAAGGGCCTTTAAACACAAAAAGAGAGAAACACACCCTTAACTGTACATTCTCAGTCAGTGTCTGTAGAAAAATCACTATCACTCTTTAAAACCTTTTAAAAACAATCACAGCTTCCTGTTTAACGTCCTCCTCGGGGTTAAGCGCTCGGCCTAAACGCCAGCTTCAGCCTCTCACTAGAAGATACAGAAGAGCCCCTCAGTCGGGGATTTTTGCGTATTAACGTTTTCCTTTTGGATGCCGTCACAGGAGCTGAAGCACATGCAGGGGTTAAACTGGGCCGGGGTGATTCACACAGGATGAAATTTCAAACACGTATTGTTGCTGTCGCTGTGGAGCCACTTATATCTCCACTTTTTTTCTGTTTTTTAACTTTTTTGCGTGATTTGTAAACTCCAGTTACACATCACTCCATAAACAGACCTACAGAGATGATCAGAAATTGACTTGAAATAAATCTTTGTTTTATTATCATTAAATTCCATTACATGTTTTTCCTTCTCCTTTAAAGGTGCCATTTTGGAGATACGAGGTTCTGACCTCACAGCGACAACATCCTGCTAGCTGGCTAGTGCTAATGGTTAGGTATCTGCATGGTGTAGGCTAACGTATAGCTTGGATCCCATATGGAAAAGGGCGTGTATATTGTTATTTGTATAATACATGTCAAAAACACTGTTTCATTCCAAAACGTATTTAAACACTAAATCACATTAAACAAAAACGGGTTTGGCCATTTTATACAGTTTTAAAGTATTAGATAAACACATTTTACATGTGTTTCTTTTCCAGCCCTCAAAATGTCCACAGTTCTTTACCAGATTACATGTAAACAGAGTTAGTTAGCTACAAAAGCTGTTTGGTCTGTGTGTGTATAGGCTAATTTCTAGCTTGGCGATTAGCCAGCTACATCAGTTTCTATAGCCAACTTAGGAGTTTTACCTCCCTCTCCCTTCATAGCCTAGCCAGCTAACTTTAGCAACATTAGCAGGTGTTTAACCAGCGTCTCCCTTCATAACTAAGGCGTCACTGTGTCAAAGTCTGTTTGTTATGCAGGTAAGCGCAGCTAGCCAGCTGCCTACCTGGTTGGTTTGGTATGTTTATGGTGTAGGCTGAGTTGGTGATAAGCTAGCTAAGTACATTTCTGCTGCCTGGCTAAAGTTAGTTAGCTTACAGAACTACTGCAGTTATGTAGTTAACTGCATACGAGTTCCACTACCTTCCCAATTCCAGTTTAACCCCTACATGTGCGCTATAGTATAACAGCATTTCTAGATTATTCAACATTTTTACACATTTGCCTAACTAAACAGGACTAAAAGCAGCAGTAGAAGTTCTCAGGGCTCTGAAACCAAGCCTGCAGTGATCATTTGACCTCTGGAAGAATCCAGGAAAGCAGCAGCAGATCAGTGAGAAAATGCTCGCTAAGTTTAATCTGCTTCAGTGTCTTCCCGTTTTGCATCTATTGCCTTGTCTTGCATTTATTGTTGGACTTATTGATCAGTGTTGCACTGGTTATGCTCACACAGCGCTGAGCTGCATCCAAAATGCCAGCAACGTTCTTGTGTGGCAATGTTTAATCTTTGTTTTTGCTAAAGTTGCTGCTTAGCTCAGCACTGTTAGCCGCCGATACTGCTCTGTTCTAAATGACAGATTATGCAAACAAGCAGCGGTTAACCGACCATTGTGTTGTCTCATCCTGTTCTGGCCAATCAAAAGTAGACTAGTCTGTACGTGTCGGTCATTTAAGTCCAGGTGCTGGCAGCTTAGCAAGATGCTGTTAGCATCACTGTTAGCATCTGGCTGCACGTTCAGAGCAAAAGCACTGATGAATCGGTTAGATTGGCACTTGGTGAGGATGGCAGGCGTCCGGTCATCCACCAGTAAACAGGCCTGTCTCGGCCTTTGCCCAATCAGTCAGGGCTAATCAGGTCACATGACCCTTCAGTCTGGGGGGCCGTGCGCAGGTGGGGCTCAGATGTGCGTGAGGGGTGTGGTGCCGGTGAGGTAATGCTGCTGGATGTTGGTGGTGTAGCCCCTCTGTGAGTGCGTGTCGGTGGGGTGGGCATCTCCAGGGTTGGGGATGTACATGCTGATCATGTCCCGCAGGTCAGTGTGTAGCGCACCACGCTGGGGGGCAGAGCCTGCAGAGGGGGGCGGGGACACTGCATCTGGTTTCACCATGGACACTACAGACTGCTGGGGGGCGGAGCTATAGGACATGGAGCTACAGAGGGGAGACAGAGAGAGAGAACGTTATTTTTAAGGTGTGACGAGCCAAATAACAATAGACTGGTATTCATGATTCATACTGGATACAGTAACTCAGTATTTAGAACGATAATCATACTAGATACTGTACAGTATGTTACTTTGAGAAGTAGTACACAGTATATAGTTTATATTGGTATAGTATGAAAGTACAGTATGTGTGCAGCATGCAGTATACAGTATATATTTTTTGCAGTATACATGTACTGGAGTACTATTTAGTATGTACTTGTGTAGTATACGGTATGTATTGTTAAAGTATACAGTATGTACTGGTGTAGCATACAGTGGTGCAGTACGCAGTATGTATTGGCGCACTATTCAGTATGTATTGGTGTAGTATACAGTGCTGCAGTATACAGTATTTATTGGTGTAGTATACAATGATGCAGTATGCAGTATGTATTGGTGCACTATTTAGTATGTACTGGTATAGTATACAGTATGTATTGGTAAAGTATACAGTATGTACTGGTGTAGTATAAAGTGGTGCAGCATACGGTATGTATTGGTGTACTATTCAGTATGTATTGGTGTACTATTCAGTATGTATTGGTGTACTATTCAGTATGTATTGTGTACTATTCAGTATGTATTGTGTACTATTCAGTATGTATTGGTGTACTATTCAGCTGTTCAGTATGTATTAATGCACTATATGCAGTATGCAGTATGTATGGGTAAAATATGGGTGTGGTGTACGGCAGATCGTGGTACAGTATACAGTATGTACTGGTGTAGTATAAAGTGTGTACTGGTGCCTTATTTGGTATGTATTTTATATATTTTTGACAGTACTGACAGTAGAAACTGAATAATTAGTAGTAGATACTGAATAATTCATAGTAGTTACTGAATAATTCCTAATAGATACTGAATAATTTATACCAGGTAATGAATAATTTATCATAGATACTGAATAATTCATAGTAGTTACTGAATAATTAATAGTAGATATTGAATAATTAATAGTAGATACTGAATAATATGTAGTAATTATTGATTATGGAGAGGTAAAGTAGCCAAAACCCACCATAAAGAAATACTGATTGCAAGAGAAATAAAATTAGCAAAAATTTAAATAAGCAAAAAAAATTCTATAGTGTTGGGTTCCTTTATAGAGCTGTGGTGGAACTTTATAGAACATCCAGTATCTGTCAGTATGGTACACTGTGGCTTTATTCTTCTCTATTTGGATCCTTTTGCTCTAAACCCAAAAAGAAGATCAGAAGCTAAATTTTAATGTCTGAACTGGAACGGAGGAAAAGCAGATCACTTTCTTCACTACTGTACTTGAGTGGAAGTAAAAACTCAGGAAAACACAAATCCAGCAGAACCTGAGTGACGTTCATGGAGCTGAGTAAGTGGGGTCACCTGTACTAACTGAATAGTGAGAGTTAATAACAGATGTTTTTTTGGCTTTAAGTCGTTTCAGGGCTGAATTTGATGCTCACCTGTACGAGTTGCCTCCGTTCATGTAGCCCTGTGCGGTTGCCATGGCGGTGGGGTACTGCAGGCCCTGTAGCTCATAGCGGTGGAGCTGCTGACCGTACCCCAGAGCGTCCGTCTGCATGGCCGCGTACCCACCCGCAGGACCCCAGCCGTACCCGTCCATCCGGGGGCTCCCCCCGGACCCCTGCATGGGCATCAGGCTGGTGCTGCCCAGCGGGTACTTGGCCCCCGGGTTCTCCTTCTTCAGCGCCGGTTTGCTCTTGCGTCTTGGTTTGTACTTGTAGTCCGGATGCTCCTTCATGTGCAGAGCGCGCAGCCGTTTAGCCTCGTCGATGAAAGGCCGCTTCTCCGCGTCCGTCAGAAGCTTCCACTCGGCGCCCAGACGCTTGCTGATCTCCGAGTTGTGCATTTTGGGGTTCTCCTGCGCCATCTTACGCCGCTGGCCCCGCGACCACACCATGAAGGCATTCATAGGCCTCTTGACCTTGTCCATGGGGTCAGCGTTCTTGTTGTGCTGGTTGTGTAGCGCTGGTTTGGTAACACCATGCGTTCCTGTGTGCGCTACTCCGGGTCCAGGAACCATCACACTGCCCTGTCCAGCCTGCTGCTGCTGCTGCTGTTGGTGGTGGACCGACATTGGGCCTTTCATGGACATATCGTGCTCCAGCATGCTGTACATGTTAGCCGCAGGGAAAAGGAGGCTAAGTATTAGTGCTGGAGTTACTAAATAACTGGAAAAAAGTCAGTTAGAAACTTCTGCTCTAGCAAACTTGCATTGGTGCCAAATTTTGCCCAAAAAGGTCCTAGTTAGGGTTTAGTTACTGGAGAACTCTGCCAAAAAAGAGCTCCCAGTTTAGTTATTAATGAACTCTGCCAAAAAAGAGCTCTCTTAGATGTCAGGTTAATGGAGAACTTTGCAAGAAACAGCTCCCTTAGACGTTTAGTTACTGAAGAACTTTGCCAAAAAGAGCTCCCTTACAGGTTTAGTTGTTTATATTTAGTGAGTGCATCTCAAACTTGCACAAAAACGTTAAAATCAAACGAACAAATGATGCCGAACCAGGAAAAAAGAGTGAAGGTCCCTCCAGCAGTGGTTCTGGTGTCCAGAGTGAAAGAGCTCTCAGCCCCACCAACTCAGAGTGAAGAGCTTCACGCATTCACAGAGGCAGGTCTAAGGAGGGGGGGCACTAGGGGTGGGAGGAGGGGGTAAAAGGGGCAGAAGGAGGGAGGGGTCACTTTGCAAAAGAAGAAGTTTCTACTCTCACCTGCAAACTCAGCACACACTCATTAAAGCGATAGTTTGGGGAAAATATCGAATCCCCGCCCAGCCCAGCACCTCCTTAGCCCTACATGTAGTCGATCGGCTGAGACGTGTTTGGTGTCTGGTGGTGTTTGGTTTTAGCACTGGAGCCGAGGCTAATGTAGCTAAGACGTAATGGAAGCTTATACCCCACCAATTAGCATGGTGCTAACTGCACGGCTGAATCATCAGACACTCAGATCAAATGTGTTGGTGAAGTCGGCTTCCGTTCCACCTTAAATGGCAGCAGTTACAGATATACTTCTGAACCATTTAAGGTGGAGCTGTGGTAATAAGAAATTCTGGGAAAGGACATGAAGTATCAGTTCTATAACAGATTTTGACGTCCTAGATGAAGAGATACTTTCGGTAAACATAGTAAAAGTAGAAGTATTCTGTATTTTTACTGGAGTTAAAGTACAGAAGTACTTACTTTTTAAACATCTAAGTAGCAAAAAAGATGTTATGGTATTTTGAAATGCAAAAAACATCATAAACCAGGGCAACATTATAAACCAGGGCAGCTGTTCATGCCTCATTGATCGAAAAAGTACCTTTGTACTTTAACTTAAATAGGAAAATACATATAGAGCTGATTAATGGTGTTCTGATTCGGCTTTATAACAGTGTTATAAATGGAACAAATGTTCGCACCTCAGTTTAATATCAGTATAATATAATTTACATAAAGCTTCTTATGTAACCTTAAAAATACTGACATAAGCTGTTCAGACAGTACTGTGCAAAAGTCAGAGCACCCCCACCCTCAGTCATTTATTTAATTTACAGTGAACAGAGCCATTCAGTACTAGTTACTGATTTTTCAGGAAATGTTATAAGACAGTCCACTTCTATAGGTTAAGAAAAAAAAATAAAGTGAAAACAACTGGAGTTCAAAACTGATTTAAAGCTGCAGAGAAACCATGTGGAAGACCTGGTAGACACCAAAACTGTCTCCATCAGATAAACAGCACTTAAAGGGGAATTCCACCAATTTTCAAAATTCCTGCATAATTAAGTGGTTAAGATGTAAACAGAGCAGTTCAGAGTGGTTTGGTGTGAAACGCTCTGTTCTAGATAAACTTACCGAGTCAGAACTGTTCACAGTGGTGGTGATAGGAACCAGACGTCCACCTCTGAAAGCTCCCTCACAGAAAGTTCCTACATGAAATGGTTATGAATTCACTGCCTGATGACTGAGACACTGTTTTATGATAGTTTAGAGATCTTAAACTCCATTCATGGTGGAGGGATACATGCAGGGCGCTGTGAGGCAAAATAGTCCCCAAAGAAAACTTATTATTTCAGATTTTCCACTATTTTCCATGATCAACATTCCATATAAACTCAGAAGACTCGTGTAGGTTCACTGGTGGTTCTGGATAGTAAATAAAATGTCTATATTTGTGTTGTAGTCATGGCGACCCCTGGTTCCTATCACCACCACTGTAAAGACATCTGAACTATTTCACACCAAACCACCCTGAATCACTTGATCATGGAGTAATTTGGAAAAATCTGTGGAATTCCCCTTTAAAGCTTTCGTCTTTGAGAGAGAGGAGAAAATCAAGCTGAAAATGTGTGACTGTGTTCTAAGCCACTGATGCCGCTCCAGTCAGGTGTGATCAGCTCCTCCTTAACACCTATTATATGTTAGTTTCTACGAGCAGCACTTCACACCTTCATTATCTCAGCTCATCCTCAACCGAGCGGCTATCAGTGCCCCCCCAACACACAGCTACTGTCAGTGCTGTTAGTGCAGTAATGTGAGGAATCTGACGCTGTGTTAGGCCTGCGCCACTGACAGAGTCCTACTACTATCCAAACTGTTAAACCAGGTTTACAGGCGAGACAACTCAGGCTCTCCGTCTCTCTCAGCTCCCGTACAAACAGGCCAAGTCAGCTGTTTTAAACAACCAATCAAACCACTTGTTTACATCCATTTTATTGGTGAAACACTTCAACATCTTGGCTGCAAATGTGTTTAAGTATGTCCAGCAGCACAACACACACTAACACACCACCACCACGTCAGTGTTACTGCAGTGCTGAGAATGATCCACCACCCCAATAGTACCTGCTCTGTGAGGATCCATGGGGGTCCTGACCACTGAAGAACAGGGTAACAAAGTATCAGAGAAACAGATGGACTACAGTCTGTAACTGTAGAACTACAAAGTGCACCTATATAGTAAGTGGAGCTGATAAAATGGACAATGAGTGTAGAAAGAAGGAGGTGGTCAGAATGTTACGCCTGATCGGTGTGTGTATATAATACAATACACTGTTAAAAACATGGTTTTCAGGGGTTCTTTCGCAAAGAAAATGGTTCTATATAGAATCATGAACACTCACAGAACCCTTTGCACGATTAAAGGTTTCTTTGCATCATGAAAAGGTTCTTCAGATTGATGAGACATGAGACCTTTTTGAAAAGGGTTCTATATAGCACCAAAAAGTGTTTTCCATTGTTACGATGTCAGGTTGACACAATAGAAGAACCCTTTTTGGTGCTGTATGGAACCCTTTTCAAAAAGGTTCTATATAGAAGCATTTACAGCACATTCTCCATCAGTCTGAAGAACGTTTTCATGATGCAACAACATTCAGCTCCATTTTTGACTCAGAGAAGCTGGTCAGTTAGGTTACATAGAGTTAGTATGGGTATCGGTACTCAGTATCTGCACCTATTTAAGGATCAGGTATCGGTATCGGTATCAGAGGGGAAGACGTGGTATCGGTGCACCTCTAACATTAATTCCAGTTTAAGATCTTTAACTGTTAAACTGTGTTGAACGATCAGCAGAGCTTTATTTTACTGTAAAGGAGGATTATTTTATTTTTACCTACTAATCTGATTCAGCTGTGGAGACGCATGTTGCTGACTCCTGCGCTAAGCTAGGCAGCTATAGACACAACAGCATCCGCAAGGAGAGATTACTGACTGGGCCAGTGGGGCCAGTGCCCAGGGGCCTCGGGAGGGCCTCAGACCACCAGGCCTGAGGGGGCTCAAATGCTAGGAACAGTCCACTGCAGATGTAAGGATTAGATGAACAGATAGCCATTAAGTGTCTAAATAACCAAAATAAAACAAGAAACATCTGTGGTCACATTTTATATTGTCTTATATTTTGTTGCTGCCATTCAAATAGGATGTTTTTTTATGGTGAGGAGGTGAAAATCAATCACATCAATCACAGTGGAAAAATGTGAAATGCAGTGCACACATGACGTTACTGTTCCATAGTGAGATGCAGAATCTGAGCCAGAAGGAAAAACAATGCGTGAGAATTTGTGTTTTTTAATGCTGAATTGGTCTCAGAATTCAATACAATCCACTTTAAAACCTAATGAATGCACAGCTATGCTGCTTTACGCTGTGCAGCACTGTAAACTGATTTTCCACACTGAAATGCACACAATGACTTTACTGTTCTACTGGCGGAATATACGCCTAAGTGAAAAGCAAAACCCCCTCTACACTGTTTGCACCTCCTGAATCTACTTTAAATGTATTTGTCTCATTGAAATGCAGCCAAAACCAACTATCACTCGCTGCAGAACCAAAGGGGTGGAGCCAGACCTGATCCAACTCCGCCCACGTCTTCTGTTCATTGATCTAAAATTTCAATTGGTCTTTAAATTAGTATGTGTCGCTTACGTTTTCCGCCTACGACTTTTACGACGTGAACACAACAGACTGTTGGATGTTTCATTCTCAAAACAAAATAGATGAAAGTTTGTGTTGCTGTGCACATAAACACAGGTGTGGGCTATCGTTTAATCTCACTATTCAGCTATTTATCCATTTATTTATTTTTAGAGTTTGGGGGGGTCTTCCAAGACCATAATGTTGCCATGGTGACAGCGTTACCACTAGCACTAAAACGGCTGATTATCAGTGGAGCAATTTACGTTTGCAGCTCCGTCCTTCATTACTGGATTAGTTTGCTCCCTCAGAGTTACGACCGTCTCAGAAGAGAAGAAGAATCAGTGCTGCAGGACATTTCTAAAGTGTTTTGATGGCAGATGACCCTCAGATGGACGCGGTCAATTCGGTGGTTTTACAGCCTCAGTGACCTTCACTGGCTTGAAAGTCAAACAGCAGCTGTTACTCTGAGATTTAGGGGTTAATCTGGAGTCCTCAGGCAGAAACAACACAGCACAGAGAGAATTCATCTGAACCTGAATCTGAATCTGAACCTGAATCTGAATCTCAGTCTGAACCTGAATCTGAATCTGAATCTGTGTATGGTGTGTGTGTGTGTGTGTGTATGGTGTGTGTGTGTGTATGGTGTGTATGGTGTGTGTGTGTGTATGGTGTGTATGGTGTGTGTGTGTATGGTGTGTGTGTGTGTATGGTGTGTATGGTGTGTGTG